CCTGGTGATTCACGAGCCCTGGGGAAGCCAGAGACAGGGTGTTAGGAGTGAACACATTTATGGACAAAACAGAATTATGTGGCCCAAAGAGTTTCGGAATGTCCCCCAATCATATTCCATGCTGACACATACTTTTCCTTTTTCCTGAGATTTTACTGAACTTCTTAAGCACAGAATGTGGCAGGGGTGGCGAGGGGAGGAGAGGGCAGCATGCCAGCCCTGCAGTCAAATCTGACGGGGGAAGCAGGTGCTCACGCTCCCTGCTCTGGGCAGGAGCTAAGGCCAGATGAGAAAGGAAGGCGTGGCCAATCCTCACTGCGTTTTAATTCTTACTTTTCTTATGGTGACAGGGTTTCCAGTTGGTGGAATAAGTCACCATAAAGCCCACAGCAAAATGACACTGGTGTTGGTATGCTTCTATGTCACGTTGGGGGGACCGTTTTGAAACGGGCATCTGGCATTTGACTTTGTTGGCCGCTTCAGGGTGTTGTTAAACCAGATTAGCACAGTGATTTTGCATGGCTGATTTCTTTTTTCATGTGAGCTTTGGTACCAGTCTGTGAACGGCAGGAAATACATATCACATGAGTTCTTATGAGGGGCCCATGTGATTGAAGAGGACTATGGTTGCAACCACTAGCTCTTGTAGATAATCTGCCTTCATGTGACTACTAAAACCTCTCCCCAGCCTGGCTTTATCTCATCACGTGGAAATCACAGATTAAAGACCACATGCACACAGAGCAGCCCGATGGGCAACTTCTCCTAGCCGGAGAGGATGCCCTTGGCATCCACCTTCCGTTTGAACTTGAGAGGTCCCATGCAGCCACGCCAGCTGACTGTTAACATGGTAGGTCAGAAGTGAGGAATCCTGGGGCTCTTGGCAGCTGTCAGCCTGTAAGTCTCATGTGGGTAGGGACTTTTTCTTATCCACAGTTATGTCCCCCATGCCTAGGCAAGTGCTGATCTCATTGAAGGTGCTCAACAAACAGGACAAAAGGAACGAATCCATCCACACAAGTGAGTGACCCGACACTTCTTTGTCCTTCTAGTTCCTATCAGGTGATCGTGCTTCCCCTGGCGCGGCAAAGCACATTTCCGTGTGATTCCAAAAGGGCTGCCTCGTTCTTCGGCAATGCCACTGAGGCCGACGGATACGTGGCTGCAGAACTCTTGCCCGGAGATGTTGCCGGGGAGGCTGTGGACATCGCCATTGGAGACAGGCTCTACTATGGGAAATATTATAATGCACCCCTGAAGATGGGGCACGATTACTGCATTGTGCTCCGCATCACAAGTGAATGGAATAAGGTACAGATCTTTAACAGCCTGTGCAGACGCTGTGTTTTCTTCGTTGTATGAACTTTTAAAGTCTGAACACTCCCTCCCCCGCTATTTGAGTTTGGACATTGCGTGCAATCAAAGTGTGTTTATTACTCTTACACGGAATACTTTGCTTTTATGAAGCACATGCAGGGAAATGTTTAATGTTGGTAGATTTCCTGCGGTGAGATGGAAGGGGCTTTTTGTTGGATCTGTGACTGGACTGATCTGGTTTGGGCTCTTCCTCGTAAGCGTCACAGAATGGCTCGGTTCCATGGAACCGGTAAAGCCTGGGTTGAGGAGGAACACCTAGATCCTGTTGCAGTCTTCCCACACCCCTGTCAGGCTGCTGTCTCCTGCAAGTGGGAAGCAGGTGGGCGGGTCAAGCGAAGCACAGAACTGCCTTTCTGCTTGGGTTATGTCCTCGATGACAGCACCGGCCACCTTCCCTTTGCCCTGACTTTAGAATGCCTGCTCTTTCTCCAGCGATCGTTCTGTCGTGAGCCAGCAAGCTGGATTTTCATTAGATGAGGAGGGATGAGCAAGGAGAACAGTAAGAGCTAGATTGATGAGCCAGCCAGGGATTCAAGCTCTTTTGGAAGAACCGCTGTGCCTTAGAAGAACCCTACGTTCAAATGAGTTGGTGATGGACACTAGAAAAACTGTATTTTTATTCATAGAACCATCTCTCGATTGGTGCATTTAAGCAACAGGTATGCAGTCATCTCGAGGATTAGGCGCGTCGCATGTCGACAACTGAGTTGGACACCAGTCTGGTGTGCCATCATCATGCATGATATGAAACCAATGGTAACTTTCAAGCCTGTGCCTAAGTAGCAAAAAGGTCAGGTAATATTTCATGACTATCATACAAGAACTCAGTAAAGGAAAGTTAAACCCATGATATGTTTGAACTTATTCAAAAGGTTTTCACAGCTTAGAGAAGACCCTCTTGCTAGATTTTCCTCGAGTTTTTCACCAAAGACCTGCACTCGCAGGGCATTGTGAGTCTGACTGAGATGGCTCCGAGATGCTGTTCCATGTCAAGGCTTTGTTCTGAGAAGGAGTGATGCTAGGCATTAGGAGAATAAGTCTAGGTGATAGGTAACTTTTATCACGACTATCACCTCATCAGGTAGCTAAGCAGAACACGTGCTTGTGCTTTGGGGTGCTGTTGTTATTGTTCGGTGCCATTGAACTGGTTCTGACCCATAGTGACCCAGTGCCCAGCAGAATGAAACCAAATACAAGGGTTTTGAAGAACTTATACTTGGACTTCACCGATGAATTGCAATTTCTTATCCCATGGGTTTATCTCCGTACATGAGTGTTACGGTCACATTAAAAACCATAGTGGTTCATTGTTCTAGACCTTTCCAAGGGAAAAAAATGAATCCAATAAAAATTGCATGCCAAAGTTGGAGTGAGGGAGAAGGCTAGCACAGTTGGGCGATTATGAGGGACTAATTTGCTAGAAGAGTTTCCCCTCTTTTGCCTCATATCGTAGGGCACAGATCATGAAAGGCTGTTGATTCAGGTGACAGATGATGATTTGGCACATTTTCTACTTAGAAAACAAACAAAAAAGCAAAAGCAAGAAAGAAGACAGATAACTAACCCCATAGATTTCTGCTCATTGCTTATCCTCGGGCCTTGGGCTCAGCCTGCCTGATGCTCATCGATTGGCTTCCAAAGCAGTCTGCACTTCAGGGGCTACTCAGGTGGGCGGGGCGTCAGTCAGTTAGGTTTGCACTCGGGTAGCCACTTGCTGTAGAGGAGTTGCCCTTTCACCGTTGGAACCACAGTTTCAAAGGACATTTGATTTCTGGTGGGAATCACTGTCCCACCCATTTTTCAAGCCGAGTCCCTCTCTCACATCCAGACCCATGGAATTTTCCTTTGCAGTCACTTACAAATTTCTCTTCGAAGGTCCTGGCCGCTGCTCTAGTTTGGCCCCCCTTTTCCTATTTCAATACCTCTGAAATATTCTTCCCCACAAACTCCTCCTGCAGACAACCCCTAACTTAATCTTCCCAAATCCACGTCTGATGGTTTTTTTAATCTTCTCCTCTAAAATTAAGCATCTGGAACCCTGGTGGCTCACCTGGTAAGTCACTGGTTGTCAAGTGAAATGTCAGTCTTTCCAGTCTGCCAGCTTCCTCATGGGAGAAAGATGTGGCTGTCTGCGTCCATAACAGATTACAGCCTTGGGAACTCTATGGGGCAGTTAAAAAAATCATTTTATTGGGGGCTCATACAGCTCTTATGTATGAGCATCCATCCATCCATTGTGTCAAGCCTGGGGCAGTTCTTATAGGATTGCTATGAATCAGAATAGGATGGATATATGGGTACCGTCTACCATGGACCTTGGTAGTGTGACTGACATGGAGATTGGTGGGGACATCCCAGAGTCTTGCGTGTAATGTACAGCATGACTTCTGTGGAACCTGCACATGACTTCAGAGTTCTTGTCAGCATCATTCCCCTGGAAGTCGTTGTTCTGAGCTCACAGAGCAAATGGAACTCATTGCCATTCCTATTGTGAACACCCGCTCCTGAGAGAGTGGAAAGCTATCGGAAATGATCCTCAGAGTAGCTGTTCTGTCCCCGCTGTCTGTGCCAGTCCCTTGGACACTTGGTATATGAATCCTAAGATGTTAGAGGGAACTTAATAATCTGGGGCTTAAGGATTGTCTGGATTAAAGTAAGAGAGGAAAAAGCACAAATGAACACCTGCTTACATGTGTTGGTATTTTTCCTTTATAGATGAGAAGATATTCCTGTGCAGTTTGGGCTCAGGTGAAAGGTAAAACCATTTTCTGCTCAACAATGCTGTCCTTCTTTCTTCCCTGTCTGTCTACAGCATTGAGCTTCTGTTAAGATCTCTTTTTATACAACTTTCCTCTAGTTCCTAAATGCTTCCTCCCACCCCCTCACGCCCCCCACTATCATGATCCGAATTCTACCTTGCAACTCTAGCTAGACCAGAGGATATGCACTGGTACAGATAGGAACTGGAAACACAGGGAATCCAGGGCGGATGAGCCCTACAGGGCCAGTGGTGTGAGTGACAATACTGGGAGGGTAGAGGGAGAGTGGGTTGGAAAGAGGGAACCGATTACAAAGATCTACATGTGACCTCCTCCCTGGGAGACGGACAACAGAAAAGTGGGTGAAGGGAGACGTCAGACAGGGCAAGATATGACAAAATAATAATTTATCAAGGGTTCACGAGGGAGGGGGGAGGGGGGAGGGAGGGGAAAAATGAGGACCTAATGCCGGGGGCTTAAGTGGAGAGGAAATGTTTTGAGAATGACGAGGGCAATGAATGTACAAATGTGCTTTACACAATTGATGTGTGTATGGATTGTGATAAGAGTTGTATGAGCCCCTAATAAAATGAAAAGAAAAAAAAAGCATGGATGGTATATTAAATCATCTTTGTTTTCTGAATCTTTTCAACTTGAATTAAAATATATTCACTGTAAATTAGTATTTGCATGATATTAAGCTATTAGGTTAAGCTGAATTTAGACCAATTGGTTTGGTAGTTTTCTGGAAAAGGATGCATAGGAAATAAATACTTTCAGACTGTGAAAAAAAAAAAAAGATCTCTTTTTAAATGATCGCCGGCAACAGAAACTCAACTCAAACTAGTTTCCGCAGAGTAACTGGAAAAGAAGGGATGGTCGAGGTGGAGGTAGAGGTTATGGAATCAGAACATAATCAAACAAAAAAACTCCAAACCAAATTCACTGCCATTGAGCCCTTCCAAAGCAACATCAACTCCTAGCGACCCTATGGGACAAAGTAGAACTGTCTACAGGATAATCAAACTAGATCATTAATCCTGTGTCATGACCATTAACAAGAAAAACTCATTCCCAAATGGATTATAGCTACAGCGATAGGACTTAATATTTACAGCATGGATGAAGGACACAAAGGAGCCCATAATAAGTGGGACAGAAAAGCTTTTCAATTCATGGGCAGGGCTCTCACTTCCTAGGTTTAAGTAGCCAATGTTGGGTAAATCACTGGGATGAGGGGGACGGGATACTACGATCAGACACTTTGGGTCTTCTGTGAACTTGTACGGAGGTCGAGGGTAGAGCAATGTGGTTGACAGCCCCAGTAGGGCTGCCCTGAAAGGGGTCAAGTTCCCCATCAGTAAAAGAGCCGCAGCAAATATGTTGGCAAACCAAAACAAGCTCACAGAATTCAGTCTCTTGCACTGTTTGGCCACTCAGCATGTGCACGCACATCCATATATAATCTTAACAAAGGCAATCCGCATTAAGATATGGAATTATCCCAGGGACAATAAAACATTCAACCCTAGTGAAGGATGTCTCCATGGTGCCTGTCATTGTATCCAGCTTCAAGACTCAGATTGCTGGCGGTGGCTCCTCTTTTCTTAGTCCCATCATTTTACTGGGGGCTCTTATAGCTCTTATAACATTCCAGACATCAGTTGTATCAGGCATATTTGCACATGTTGCCAACATCATTCCAAGACATTTTGTGCTTGAGCCCTTGATATAAGCTCCTCTTTTTTCCCCTTCCTCCACCCCCACCGGTATCCTTGATCAGTGATATATTGTTATTTCATCTCTTACACTGTCCTTTCTCTCCCTTCACCCACATTCCACTATCCGTCCCCTTCTCGGGGAGGTGGGGAGGGATTATAGATCCAATCTTCTGATGGGTTCCCCTTTTCTCACTCTTCCCCCTCCCGGACTATCCCTCGCCCCTCATGACATTGCTACTCCCAATTCTGTTCCTGAGGGGTTTATCATTCCTGAATTCCCTGTGTTGAGAGCTCTTATCTGTACCAATGTGTGTTCTCCAGCCTAGCCAGATTCATAAGGTAGAACTGGGTCATGGTAGTTGGGGGGAGGAAGTATTCAGGAACTAGAGGAATGATGTGTGATTCACCAGTGCTATACTGCACCTTGGTTGAATCATCCTTTCCTTATTCCACTCCTGTGGGGGGATGTCCAATTGTCTACAGATGGGCTTTGGGTCTCCACTCCAAGCCCCCTCTTTCTCATCGATATAGTTGTTTGTTTTGGATCTTTTGAGACCCATTGCCTGATACGGGGTATGCGCCCTTAGCAGCTCCAGATGTGCTTCTCACGATCTGGTTAGCAACCTCTGACTAAACAGCAAGTTTAACTTTCCCGAACCCCAATATGGAGTCTGAAAGACAAGACGGGGTGACCCAAATCATGCTCTCCTTCAGAAAGATGGAAAAGAAAAAGCACTGTGCTGTGGTCACAGGCTCCTAACCATGTGCTGCCCACATCTTGCTGCACAAGGAAAGCAAGCAATCCAGCTAAAGGGCAGCCTGGGGGATCGCTTGACCGGTCCATTTGGCTACCTGTTGGGGAGCAGCCCTGGCCGTGTAGTAGTTCTGCATTGGGCTGTGGTCCGCATGGTCTCTGAGGGAGAAAGACTGGGCTTGCTACACTTGCCATCAGTGACAGTCTCAGAAACCCCCTGGGGGGGGGTCACTATGAGTCAGCATTGACTTGATGGCAGTGGCCTGTTGGGAGACTATTCCATTTCCACAGTCTCTCAAAGCTATGTCTAAGAAATGCGATGGGGGAGGATCTCGTGCGAGGACTGACCAGTTTCAATGCTCTCTTTCATATTGGCCGAGCCAGCCAGACGGGGACATTGCCTGAAGGGTTGAGCAATCACAGGACTTTGTTCGCCAGGCTTGGGATTTCCCTGGCAGTACATCTCTAAAAAAACAATTAAGAAGCCAGCCAGTGGATTTGACGCCCAGAAATTCCATCTGGTTGCAATAAGCGCCAGAAGTCGTGTCAAGTTAGGATCTTTGGGTCTAGATCAGCAGTTCTCAATCTGTGGGTTGTGACCCCTTTGGGGGGTCAAATGACCCTTTCACAGGAGTCACCCCATTCATAACAGTAGCAAAATGACAGCGATGAAGTAGCAATGAAAGTAATCTTATGGTTGTGAGGGGGGGTCACCACCACATGAGGAACTGTATGAATGGGTGGAGTCATTAGGAAGGTTGAGAACCACTTTTCTAGATCTTTCTCTTGCAATTGATGATCCTAGCCACAGGCTAAAGAACTTTGTCCTTGGCCTCCAGAATCAGTTTACCCCTTACATCCTGTCCTCTCCCGCGGGCAACGTCAGTGGTGGTGAGGGAGGACTGATGGTACTGCCGCTTTGTTTGCCGGAGAGGTCCTGGGAAGGGTGCCTGCCCATGAGGGATCAGTGACTGGCAGGAGAGGTCCTGGGAAGGGTG